GTGAGTTCAATTATCTCACCTACTCTATGAGCTACGAATGTTTTGTATGATCGTGAATCATTGCGAAGCCAACCCAAAACATTCATTGAATCGCACCAAAATGTGCGTTTTATAGGTTTAAATTTTACTGCTTCTACAATGGTCGTAGCTAAACGTGCGGCTATTAATGCAGCTTGTAATTCTAATCTAGGAATACTAGATGGTTTCAAAGGAGCTACACGTGACTTGCTACAGACCAAAGCGAGTTGTACGTCTCCGTTAGAGTCTGTAAAGCGCCAATATGCTACTGCTCCGTAAGCTTGGGCACTGGCATCGGCAAAGACGTGTAACTCGGTTTGACTTGGTTGCAAAAAATGATGATTATAACAACGCGGAATTTTTATCTTGGCGGTAGTAATTAAATCCTGAAACCAATTATTCCATGCAATGGTTTCAGAGTTAGGGAGCTCGATATCCCAGTCTAAATTCATTCGCCAAGCATTTTGGAGTAAAATACGACCGCGAATAACGATAGGCGCGAGGATTCCTAACGGGTCGAAAACACGCATGATTAAAGATAATATTACACGCTTGGTAAGCGGATTGGGCAAGGTCTCTTGGCCTTGTTTAATTGGGGTATTAAAACCTATGAGATCTCTAGAAGGGTGCCAGTATAATCCTAATGCACGGACGCATGGTGACAGGGACGGAAGATTTGCTAGATCGATGTTAATGTCAGATACTGATTCCGATAAAAGATGTTTTGGTAATAAACGAAGTGCATTCGGGTCATTCGATACCCATCCGCGCATTTCCAGTCCTGCACGAGCATGGACATGGACAATATCGGCAGCTAACTGAGCAGCTCTATCACTGGAATCTACCGAACCTATATAGTCATCCATATAAGTGTCATATATAATGCCATGCACTGCTTCGGGATATTGATCTTTAACTTCTAAAGCGTTTTTATTTTTCATATATATAGCCGTAAAGGGACTCGACACTGCACCAAAAATCATAGAGGACATCCTGTAGGTAGTTATGGGTACATTAGGGTTATCACGCCACAAAAACCGTTGCGCATCCCTGTCTTGTTTAATAATTTTAAATCTAGGAAACATTTCTTTAATGTCAGCTGTCATCGCTACCTTTCCTTCTCTAAATCGAAGCAAAATATCGAATAATGATTGTAATAAATCTGGCCCTGTAAGTAAAAGTGAATTTAAACTAACCCCTTTAATTTTAGCGGCAGCATCATGGACTACACGCAGTTTTGCCGGTTTGTTAGGATTCACTACGCCAAAATGAGGTAAAAACCAACATACGGAATTCGAAGATGGCTCATTCTGACATATTTCAGCGTAATCTTTACTAACGAGGTCGTGAATATTTTGTCTATAGCGCTCAGCGTAGCCTGGGTCACTAATCATTTTCTTCTCCAAACTTAAAAAACGAGATAAAGCAAGAGAATAACTATTTGGTATAATAGGGTTGTCAGGTTTCCATAATAAACCTACTTCAAACCTACCACATGGAAGGCGGTTGGCAGTGCGCTCTAAAATTTCGATAGCGCACGCATCTGCAGTACTGCGTGGTTCTTTTTTACTAATACCTATTGAATCTAACCTATAATAATTCTTAATAAGGTTTTCTAATGAACTATTGTCAGTAGATGGAAAGTCAGACTCGTCAAATAGAACATGATTCACTATGTCGACCGGACTAGTCCTACTACTGCGAAAACCGAACAATACCCAACCTAAAGCAGTTCTAATTGCAGCTGGCTGCGACTTTGTACCATTCCGTACGCATTGAGGAATAGTGAGATGCCAGTTGTCAATACCGATCACAATCTTTGGTTGTGCATCATCATAACATAAAAATGGTACTAAGTCAGAAAGATAAGAAAATTCATTAATATTTTTAGGATAAATTGATTGTCTAGCTAACTGTAAATCTTTAATAGAACGGGCCTGTCTAACCTGATGTATTTCATCCGTGTGACAACCCTTAATGTTGAAATTGACATATTCCATTTTTGTATATTTTGACAACCCCCCAACGCATTTTAAGTGAGTTTGTACACATGGACCCCGTGCTCCAATTTGAGCTGCGAGTTCCGAATCTATAAAAGTAGATGTGGACCCGTCGTCCAATAAAGCATGAGTATTGATGCTACCACGTGGACCAGAGATCGTAACAGCTATTATTTTTAAGAAAGGTCGATAATTCGGATGTTTATTATTATTACTTGGTGAAAACGAACTACTAGCGTGAGCAACGAAATCAGTCGTCTCTTTGCTCGAGGATTCATCAGAACTCTCAAGTTCCCCAGAGTGAGGAGTGGAAGACGATTCACCTTGTTCATCCTCATTTTCAACCACATAGGCAATATGTAATAATTTATGATGTCTAGAATTACATTTTTCATTGGTACAAATCTCTTTAGAAATATCACAGTTTTTATAATTGTGCAAACCTTTTTTGAGACATTTGTGACAAAGTTTTTTCCCTTTTACAAATTTCCACCTGTCATCAACTGACAATGTCTTAAAATCACAACAATGAGATAAACTATGTTCGTTATTACAAAATAAGCATATCTTTTTATTGTTGGATATGGGATTTGATGATTTTTCATGATTTTCAGACTGATAAATATACGGGGCCGTGGACGTAGATGGTTTGTATGTATTAACTGTGTGGACTTTGTCAGCTTTTTTAGGGTAATTAATAGGCTCATTGAGAAGACCGAACTTGAGTTGTAGGTCCACCTCTTGTGCAAGGAAGGAGGCTAGCAGCTCAAGTTTAGTAGTCCTCTGGGTGAAATGAGTAGCTGCGTAGTCAGCCCATCGTGTTCGTAATAGAGGAGTAAGTTTACTAAGTACCGATTGAAAGAGCTCTGGTGATTCCAAGTAGGGTCTTTGTTCTAAAAGTCTCATTACCTCCACTGAATTACGGACGCGGCAAGAGAATTTATGAAGATCACTAGAATCGGTGTTGACCTTTGGTAACGAACGGATTGACGCAACTTCTTGTAGGACAATTAATTCAGGTCTGCCAAATCTTAATGCTAAAGCCTGTATTACCTCGATAGGGTCTCGCGCGGAGACTAGCAGTACCGCCACAGAATCTTGTGCCGCTCCTCGCAGCGCCATACCAATCCGAGTCAAGTTGTCCGAAGCCGAGTATGCTGCTTGTGTATTGTCATATACACGCTTGAAGGTCAACCAGTCCAAAGGCTTCCCGTCAAAGACCGGAAGACGCCCGTCTCCAAACGTCTTGTGCTTATTATTATTTGATAATGAGGTGATGGCCTGTGCTAATAAGGTTATGTCACTAGGCGATTTTTCAATTGAAGAAATGGGTTTAATTGTAGTTGAACTACAAATCGGCCTCGTGGGGCTTCTACTAATTATTAAATCGTTAGTCATATGTTCTTTTAAGACAGGACGGAGAACGTTTTGAGAGTTTGTGGCAGGCATAGTATAGGTGCTATTACGTGTCTGTAGAGGTGCTGGAATTGCCGCAGAACGATTTATTTTATTAATAGCTGATTCGCTACAAGGAACATTTATATTAATGTTCTGCGGTTGCAAATCTACGTCTATCGTAGTTATAGCAGTGTCTAAACATGTGTCTAGCCATTTCCGAACCTCCCTATTAGAAATATAACTTTTGGAACGACGACTACTACGTACGCTACCTCTTTCCTCCAAAGCGGCAATTTGTGCTTCTTTTCGTAGTTCTAAAGCAGCGCGCTCTCGTTCCAATACGATACGCTCACGTTCGAGGGTAGCCCGCTCCAAGAGTGCTATTTTTTGGGCATAGTCTGATTCAATTTCTAGAGTACGACTTCTTATGGTAGCTGAAGAACCTGAAACAGAACTAGCCGCGCTGCTGGGAACTCCGGTGGTTTTAGCGATTACACTCGACGAGGGAATGCCAGGGCTTCCGTGATGTACGGTAGAAGACTGGCCCTGTTCCACATCAGATGCACTCGTTTTTTTTGTTGAACGTGTCTTTACCATTGTCTTTGTTGGCGAGAGGACCAATATTTTAATTATTAATGTTTCTAAGGACTGTATATATTTTATATTATAATTTTAGTTACAAGAGAAACTACGGTCGCTGATGGTAAAAGACATATATTTCAAAGTGACAATAAAAATCGAACGAAACATAAAATATTTAAATATATATATAAAAAAATATAATTATCATATAAAAAGGTGCGTTATGCACACTTACTAATATTACAATTTGGTGTTTTGTTATGTTATTTCTGTTTGTCGCGCTTTCAAGCCAAAACCAGCAAACCGATTTTAATAAAATTTGTTACACAGACTCTGAGAAAGGACTCAGCCTACTTTTTATTGCGAAAAGGGTTGTTAGACGTTGAAAGGGGGGATAAAAGATTGTATTTTTTTTTTATACTACTATGGTGGCAATTAAGCATACGGCCCATCTGATGGTAAATGGTTACCGTAGCCTATGGACTCCTGAAACACCAGGGGTATCACTTGCGATGCCGACCCTTAAGAACAGTGTTGGAGGAAAGGTGAGCATGAGGTCAGGTCAGTTAGCCCATCATGACTTGAATATGTCATGATGGGCTAATAATCCCAGTGCTAACAATGTACGCAGTTCCCCCTGGAAACCATCCTGATAAATTCTTGATATTCATCAGGAATTTAACAGGATGGTTTCCAGAGGGAAAACAATGTACGCAAACTGACCTCATGCTCATCTTATCATTCACCACTGGTGCCCCGCTTGCCAGTTCTTCTAAATTGAATCTGTATACTGAACTGAATGGTAGGAAAAAATTACAATACAAAAAAATTTGAAGTTAAAATGTCCTACATGAATAAATGAAGCTAGAAGGATAAAACTTTTTTCTTTGGCTTTACGACTTAGATTATGAAATATTTGTTCTTTATTTGGTCCAAGCGGCTGTAGCCGCGGGCCGGACGTAGTCTCAGGCACAGATAGTGTTATATATATAAATCACTCACCAAAGAGGCGGACCTCTGCTGCTTGAGCTCATTCTGTCGTCGATGGCTTTCCTCTCCAACATCAGAGTACTGTCCTGACTTGCGGCCACTGCAATTAACATAACACACAGTCACACACATAAATCACAGTCTTATTCACAGAAACTTCACAATTATATATATTCCTTATTGTACTTATTTGACGACCTCGGAGGTCTAGCGGTCTAGCACACCGCTTTACGTCCAATTGTCGCGGGTTCGATTCCTCGCACGGCACAAACATTTGTATTCACGAGTATGATTGTTTGTATCGGTCTGGGTGTTTTCTATGTATAATATGTATGTATTTACGAAAAAAAATATATATGTATTTATATCAGTTATCTAGTACCCATAACACAAGCTGTAGTTAGCTTAACTTGGGTCTAGATGGCGCTGTGTGAATTGTCCTGAGATTATTATTATTACTTTTAAATAGAGTAGAAAACTTAATTATATACAAAGTGGGCAAGGTGGTCTTATCTCTAAAAGAGATCTCTACCAGTCAACCCAACAGTGTGGCATAGCTATTAGTGAGTTGGTAACACTATATACACTTATTAACTACTCGCCCCGACTTCGCTTCGCCGCCCATATTATAATACATGTATATATAACCTTCCTTTTGAATCACTCTATCTATTAAATAAAACCGCCTCAAAATCCGTTGCGCAGTTTTAAAGATTTAAGCATACATAGGGACAGACAGCGACAGCAACTTTATTTTATACTATGTAATGATTATAGTTATTGACATCTTATTGACATCTTATTGACATCTTATTGACATCTTATTGACATTGGATCTCTATTATCTGAATAAATAAAATTATTATTATTATTATATTCCCTTTGGTGTTAAAAAGGCGTGACAAGAGCAACATAGGCATTGCATAAATCTCTCGCTTCCTTCACTTAAGAATAATTTATGTAAACAAGTATACGAGAGTTGGTTATAAGATTTGTTACAATAATTTACCGTCCTTTAATTTATTTTGCACGGTGCAAAGAACGAATCTGTGACAATCGAAAGTAACGTTGCAAAACTGTTAGACCAACGATGGCTGGAATGAATAATTTTAAAATAAAACATAATATTTTCATTACAATCAATCAACATCATCATCAATCAACATTTCTGCGTAATCCTGAAAACCACATTGTGAGAAAGTGCATTTCCATGGCTACAACAAAAAGAGGACGAGGCAGGCCACCAACTACCTGGTTGACAAATGTCCATAGGGACATGAAGGATTTGTGCCTGTCAAATGACGATGCTTACCAGCGAAATGTATAGCGCCCCAGGATTAGAAAAGCCGACCCCGAGTAATGAAGGCGAGGATGAAGAAGAATCAATCAACATCATCACCATCATCTTCCTTATCCCATTTATTTGCGGTCGGCGTAATGTTATTTCCATTCATCCCTGTTCGCAGTCATTTCGTTATTCACTCCCATTATTGTCATATCATCTTTCACACAGTCCATCCATCCCTTTTTCGGCCATCCTCTGCCCTTATAACCATCCAATCAAACGGCGATGATATATCTTATATATAAAATTCTCATGATTTCATGATTCTCATGAAATTTTGTGAGCGTATTGAGTAGGTCTGAGAATCCGCCAACATCTATTTTTCATCACCCTAAATGTTAACTACTGCAAAACAACGTTTGCCGGGACAGCTAGTCTTATATATAAAATTCTCGTGTCACAGTTTTCGTTCCCATACTCCTCCGAAACGGCTTGACCGATTCTCATGAAATTTTGTGAGCGTATTGAGTAGCTCTGAGAATCGGCCAACATCTATTTTTCATCCCCCTAAATTTTTTATTTTTATTTTAAGGCAAAACAACGTTTGACGGGACAGCTAGTATATGATATGAAAAAATACCTAGCCGAATGAACAACCGCATCCGTTTTTGAAGTCGGTCAAAATATATCAGAAATGGACCGTGAAATGAATGTGGTATCGGCCGTTACGCTTCACTTCACTGCCAGTGACTTATCAGTCTTTTATTCGTTTTTTGAGGCCTTTTTTGGAGGCGAGTGTACATCTACAGTTTTGTGTCCATCATGATTGATCAATCGCTTTGGTGCCTGTATGATATTAGATTATATATATTTATTGATGATTGATCAATCGCTTTTAGAGCTATATGATATTAACTTAGTAAATAAATGTTTGATAATCAACATCGAGTTAAACTATAAGCTACAATTTTGAAATAGAATTATTAAAAACTGGTTATAATTACTAATAATATTGCGTAGCTCAAACAGTTAAACGTAAGCTCTTTAAAACTAAGTTATACCACAGATAATATAATATTAAATAGTTATACTTATAAATGTATAGTTAAGTTTACGTAATAAAAATTAATAATTTTTTCATACTTTAAGGCAAAATTTATTTATTCATGTTTATTATTTATTTTTACTTTACCATAAAGCTCCTATATACTATAGCTAGTCTTATATATAAAATATTACGCTTTTTCCGTCCAACAAATTTCTGCAAATAAATCTAGACCATAGCTCCTTCAAGTAAACTGGCTTGCAGCACCGTGTGTATATTTACACGAACCATTTGGAGCCACTTTTGACCCCCTCATAACTCAAAAACTCTTTCACACAAACCTGTCAAATTTGGTTCATATATTGAGACTTGCGAGATAAATATGTGTTCCAAATTTCATAAACATATCTCAAACGGTTATTTAGATATTAATGTCCAAAAATCGTCATTTTTATCACTGATCAACTATAGATCAAAATTATAACCCACTTTTTCAAATTTGGTATGCAGATAGGTAATTAGGTGAATATAAAGGAAAAAATCTGAAACTGGTAAATTGTTATCATTTTACTACAATTTTTCACTTTAATTGATTCTATTTCAACTTATATATACTAAAATTCTATGAAAACGTCGATAGCCACCAATTGACATTGATCCCTGGCGAAAAATTTCATCTTGTACTAGACGGAAAGTAATATTGTATGAAAACGTCGATCATTACCAATTTACGTTGACCCCTTCACATCAGTGTCGATAACTAGCAAACTTCAAATATTAATTGAGCGGTAAACACTAGTTGCTATAATTTAGATTCTGTCTAAAATATACTCGTACTTATAACTAGGAGTATAGTCGAATTTCGTATTTACATATTATGTTATTAACTGAGATTTGGTATTAATTATTGTTTCAATATTTAGCGCACATCGATAGTGTAAAATCATTATTTTTATAAATAATTATTAAATAATAGGCATTTCGGTATAGGGCGCCGCGGATTAAATTATACTTATATGTATATTTGTGATTATATTATTATTACATTATTTTAGTAAATACGTATGGTATAGACAATAGTTTAAACCAAAAATTAATAACAATTTTAGTATAGTTATAAGTAGGAATGTACAGTTAACTCGAGAATGAGAACTTATTGGTAACAAATTGTTTTCTTGAGAATTCAATAGATAACAGTCAATTTGTTACATAATCGTCTTTACGAACTATAACGTGTCAATACGAAGTTTCAGACATTAAATAATGTATATGTTGATAGAGAACAATTCCGTATTTGCTTAACATGTGCTATTACTATCCACAAATCACAAGGCCTTAGTTTTGGCAGTCCTCTTCTCAACATAGCCTCCTCTATATTTAATAAAGGGCAGGTTTACGTTGGACTCTTCAGAGTTAAAACCTTAGATGGAGTACGTCTTAACAATTTAGATCCAAGTCACGAGAGCTCTATTGTAGAGTACAACCATCTGTGGACGTTATACCGCCCCGATTTGCCCAAAAATTCCTGATACTGAATTGGCATTGCACTTGAACATTTAAAAGTTACAAGAAAATATAGAAAATAACACAAAAAAAAGACAATTATACCCCGTAAATATACGAAAATACAGTAATTTATCAAAAATAATTTGGTATTAATTGTGTATGGCTTGATAGTTAGAAACAGAAAAAGGGGCAGTGACAGTTTGAATGAATCTTTTTAAATTGTTAATTGTTGCCATTACAAAACGAAAATATATACATACTACAAAATATTTATATTTATTTTAGGTTCAAATTGTCTTGAACAGTGTAAATAAAAACAAAAACTCCTATATAACCATATGACAACTCTAGTTGTTGAAATTAAATTAAATTAATTTATTTGCGAAATTCATTTACTGATTTGACGACCTCGGTGGTCTAGCGGTCTAGCACAGCGCTTTCCGTCCGATGGTCGCGGGTTCGATTCCTCGCACGGCACAAACATTTGTAGTCATGAAAATGATTGTTTGTATCGGTCTGAGTATTTTCTATGTATAATATATTAATAAATATTCTATGTATAGTATGTATTTACGAAAAAAAAAATTATCTATGTATTTGTATCTTTTTCTTTTTGTTGTCTAGACACATAATATAAACTATTAAAATTGTCCTGAGATTATTATTATTATTATTATTATTTGACTATATTTTATACTACTGTTAAGGTTTCACCCGCGCCAAATTGATAGCCTATATGTTTTTCTGATGCATAAGGAATACTACTGTAAAGTTTCATTAAAATCCGTTCGTTAGTTTTTGCGTGAAAGATGAACAAACATCCATTCATACACATAAACTTTTGCGTTTATAATATTATTAAGATTTGTATGGTGTATATGTTTTTATACGCCATACAAATCTTATATCTATATCTGGTTATGTGTTTTACAGGTGTATGGAGAATGAGTGCAGTGACCCGTTCAATGGTCGACACACAATTAATATCATACCCGTAATTACCAACTGTCGTTTACATAATCACCGCTGGAGACCAATATTTCTCCGTACATCCAATGTATCTTATAGGGAATAATGAACAACGATAATGCGATATTGCTGACGAGGGTATCGTTTTAATAAGAGGTGCTATCTATCTGGAAACTCTACACTCTTAATCTTAATACAGATTTCTTCAATATTGTTTCTTACGAATATAATAAGGCTTTTAACAAAAAAACTATCAGTATTAGTAACAAAACAAAATTTTCAGAATGGGCTACAAAGGGAATTTTAAAAGTAGAAATATATTATTTGATTTATATGATCAAAAAAAATACCGTTTCGATAGTACATTCGTAAATTATGTAAAAAGATACTCAAAAACTTTTAAAAAGGTATGTAATGTAGCAAAGTCAAATGTAATTATCTAAATAAAAAAATTAAAGAATCCAAGGATAAGATTAGGACAGTGTGGAATATTATTAATAAAGAAACTGGCAAAGTTAAAAGTCCATATAATGATTTTACGTTAAATTACAATGATAAACTAGTAACGTCCACAAAAGAAATAGTCAATATTTTTGAAAAATTTTTCGCTAGTATTCCAACTGATATTACGTCCTCTTTGGACTCTTCTCCAAGTACAGCTAAATCATTCCTTATTGACAATGTTGCTTCGTGTCCGGTTACATTTAAATTTACATTTATTGACATTGCTACAATTACGAAAACATTTAAACAATTAAATTTAAAAAATACTGAAGACCGTTGGGGCATGTCTGTTAAAGTTATTAACACCGCTGTAGATGTTATTGCTCCATATTTAGTAACTATCTTCAATAAATGTATTTTTGACGGTGTTTTTCCCAATTTAATGAAACATAGTAAAATAACTCCACTTTTTAAGTTAGGGGATAAAACTGAAGTAGGTAATTATAGGCCCATTTCTATCTTACCAGTACTAAGTAAAGTGTTTGAAAAAATTATGCTCAATCAGATGCTACACCACTTTAAAATAAATAGACTGCTTCACAGTCGGCAATTTGGTTTCACGGCCGGTAAATCAACTTACGCTGATTTGAAACACATTTTTGACTGTTGGGAGAGGTCACAGGATGCTATCGGTGTATTCTGTGACCTCTCAAAAGCATTTGATTGCGTTGATCATGAAACACTCCAAATTAGAATATTACAGTATTAGATACGAAGCACTAAACATGATGAAATCCTATCTAAATAATAGAATGAAAGTTGTTGAAATAAATGGTGTAAAGTCTGAGGGCAGTAGTATTAAAATGGGTGTTCCTCAGGGCTCTATTCTAGGTCCTTTCTTATTTTTAGTTTACATAAACGATCTTCCTTATATGGTAGAAAAGATAGCTGACATAGTTCTGTTTGCTGATGATACTTCATTAGTATTCAAAGTCAATCGACATATTGATGATATGGACGAAGTAAACGGTTCTCTCTCTTATGTTTTAAAATGGTTTACGGCAAATAATATGCTACTAAATGCAAATAAAACTAAATGTATCAAATTTACTCTCCCCTATGTAAGGCCGGTAGATTCAAAAATCGTATTGGACAATAAATCTATTAATTTTGTTGACGATACTGTATTTCTAGGTATCACATTAGATTCCAAGTTGCAATGGGGTGCTCACATTACTAAATTGGCGAGTCGACTTAGTTCTGCCGCTTACGCGGTAAGAAGAATTAGACAATTAACAGACGTGGCAACGGCTAAACTTGTCTATTTTAGCTATTTTCATAGCATTATGTCGTATGGTATTTTGTTATGGGGCAAAGCAGCTGATATAAATACAATATTTACTTTACAAAAGAGGGCCATTCGCTCCATTTATGGTATGGGTTCCAGGGAGTCATTGCGAGAGTGTTTTAAGGACTCAAATATCCTCACCGTTGCTTCTCAATACATTTATGAAAATATCATCTATGCCAGAAGGAATATAGACAGTTTCAAAAGAGTTAGTGATTGCACTAATAAAAGCTTACGTAACAATAACAAACTGATTTTACCTAAATGTCGTTTGGCTAAAGTTAGTAATTCGTTTTATGGCAATTGCGTAAGGTTTTACAATAAAATACCAGAGTCTGTTATAAATCTGCCAGAAAAAAGATTTAAATGTCAAATAAAACAGTTCCTTTGCAAAAAAGCTTACTATAAAATTGAAGAATTCGTTAACGATAATAATGTTTTTATAGAAAAACTTTAAATCTATAGCACTGACAATATTATCTGATTACATTAATAATGAGTGCGTAGCGACTTCTATGTTGATTGTCGCATGCCTCTTACTTGTTATACTGTAATTATTTATATAAAAAAAAACATCTATTAAAAAGAGCAACACACAAGTTTCTTGCTCATTCTTCTTGTGATGAGTCTGCGTTCCGAATGAGTGGTAGAATCAAAATATGACTATTCAAAAGTGCTTGTAATGAGTTTATTTGAATAAAGATTATTTTATTTCTATTTCTATTTCTATTTCTAATAATAATAATTATAAACGCAAAAGTTTGTTAGTTTTTTTTTCGACTACGAAGTCGGACAGTTAGACCACGTAAGTTGAGTCTGTGCGACCGTTACTGAAACCAACATGTAGGTACATTTATGAAGTTTGGAAACTTAAGTCTGTGCGACCGTTACTGAGACCAACGTACGTAGGTACATTTATGAAGTTTGGAAACTTAAGTCTGTGCGACGTTACTGAGACCAACGTACGTAGGTACATTTATGAAGTTTGGAAACTTAAGTCTGTGCGACGTTACTGAGACCAACGTACGTAGGTACATTTATGACGTTTGGAAACTTAAGTCTGTGCGACGTTACTGAGACCAACATACGTAGGTACATTTATGAAGTTTGGAAACTTAAGTCTGTGCGATCGTTACTGAAACCAACATATGTACGTACAATTATGAAGTTTGGAAACTTAAGTCTGTGCGACGTTACTGAGACCAACATACGTAGGTATATTTATGAAGTTTGGAAACTTAAGTCTGTGCGACCGTTACTGAGACCACAGATAATATAATATTACATATTGAGACCAACATACGTAGGTACATTTATGAAGTTTGGAAACTTAAGTTTACTTTTTTTTTCGGACTACTCTAATGCTGTTGGCCGCAGATGGCCTTTACAGCTTCACCGGACGATAGGGGGCGAGTGCAGATGGCATTCCAAACCCGCGGAAGGCCAACCCGCCTGACAGACACGACTTTAGTCTGAGGGCACCACTAGGGGTTCGAACCTCGGCTCGGGCCGTCGTAATATCGATACCCGTTTGAATTGGACGGGGAATCGTTCGGTGGGTTGTTGGTATAGATGGGTGTTTGTTACTCTTTCACGCAAAAACTACTGAACGGATTTTGATGAAATTTTACAGTAGTATAGTCTATGCATGGGAATAACGTATATGCTATATTTTTTTTATTGAAATTTAACGCGTGTGAAACCGCGGCCACAGTTAGTATATAATAAAAAACTGATACGCAAATTACAATTGCGATGTCTATTCAAATTGATGTTTGTAGGCGTCTATACACTACACATACAAATAAATTATGTGTCAGAGCGTTATTCTCGTCCATAGGCGGCTATTACACCAGGTGAGCTGTCAGTTTGTTCACAACTGTCAGCAATATAAAAAAAGTGCAAAATTGCAGCTCCAATCTTTTAAAACCATTCTGTTTACATGATTGACATAGTCTCGTTAACCGTTTACCGTCAAATGGGCCGTAAGATTGTTTGCCACCATTGTAATATAAAAAAGTTGTATTAAAAAAACAAAATATAGTAATTTTTTTTATAGAATTACATTATTTTGTTTAACTGCTCTTATTTTGAAATCAGTCTGTTAATATATATAATATGAACATATGTATAATAGCCATAGTCATTACATAGTATAAAATAAAGTCGTTGTCGCTGTCTGTCAGTCCCTATGTATCTTAAATCTTTAAAACTACGCAACGCATTTTGAAGCGGTTTTTTTTATAGATAGAGGGATTCTATAGGAAGGTATATATGTATAATACATGTACACCCGCGTGAAGCCGAGTGAGTAGCTAGTATTAGTATATATTCTTTAATATCTTTTATTTTTATTTACTTTTGTATGAAATGAAATATGAATTTCAATATGATTGTAAAACTTAACCGAAATAAAATACATACATACAAAGATTAGATAGAATGAGAGACAACTCTTTTATTTTTAATTGTCCACACTGATTATTTAAACGATTTTCTGACGATCTATTTCATCATGGAGAAAACATGAAAAAAACTATGAAAAATATATTCATTTTACCATTTTTAATTAACGGTGCCTCACTGTAGTTAACAAATACTACAGTATTATGTACCCTTATAGGTAAGTACCGTAGAATCGTCAAGCTGTCAGTTTATTCTCAACTGAGTGGTAGAATAAAACGAGTATAAAATGATAGGTTACCTGGATGCGAGTTTGCGGTGCGCTCGCCTGCCACCGCTGATCATGGACAATGTGCTCATCACGGCAGACATCTCGCCAGCGGCTGACAATCATGCGCATGTGACCTGCACACAACAACAGACATACATTAAAATTAATATAGAATATTTTTATTTATAATTATTTATTCATATATTATAAATAGCTAACATATATATATCCTTATCCTTACTTCCTTACTATATCATCATTACATGGTATAAAACAAAGTCGCTGTCGCTGTCTGTCCGTCCCTATATATGCTTAAATCTTTAAAACTACGCAACGGATTTTGAAGCAGTTTTTTTAATAGATAGAGTAATTCTAGAGGAAGGTTTATATATATAATATATGTTCACCCGTGCGAAGCCGGGGAGAGTAGCTAGTATTATATATTCTAATATTATAACGTGTGAATACAAACTACCAATCAGCACTATTTGGGTGAAATATAAAGAGATGATCTTTTGAAGATATTTTCACAAGATAAAAAAGATCTCCAAATCTCGGATTCCCTCGTCTTAAGTCCGATCCCCGTTGAAAGGATGGACAGGGGAAGCAAGTCTTGATGTCGAAATCTATAGTTTTTAGTACCAGCTAGGTACGAACTCACGAACTTTCGTGTGTAAATCGGGCTAGTTAATCACCAGGTCATAATTCTCTCAATTGTTAGTACGCTGACAATCGTTTGTAAGTAGTTTAAGTACTGTTATTGTAGTAGTTAAGTAGTTTGTAGTAATTACAAACAATGCTCACCCGTTGAGCACGGAGTCTCCTCGAGATAACGGAATGTTAGATCTTAAACCGACAATTACGTATAATTGTTAGAAGACAGTTACAACAGTAACAGTATGTATTTATATCTAACAATTAACCGACGACCTCGGTGGTCTAGCGGGTTAGCACACCGCTTTACTTCCGATGGTCGCAGGTTCGATTCCTCGCACGATTTAAACATTTGTATTCATGGTTAAACTGTGCGAGCATTGTATTTACAAAAAATATATATCTATGTACTTATATCAGTTGTCTAGTACCCATAATAAAGGTTCTACTTACCGTGGGACTAGATGGCGCTGTGTTAATTGTCCAGTGGGTTATTTATTTATTTATTATTTATTCGTTACTTGAACAATCATTTGTTAACATTGTTTACTTTTAACTAGGTACTTAGGTACTATCAGATTATTATTTATTAAAAATGCAAATGATAATTCTCAGTTCTTTGCTTTCTATCAAAAAGGTTATAGTAAATTGAAATCCTTCGATCTAATAAATTATTATATTATATCGATATGTTGCAAACTTTTTATTTTTTGATCAATTTTCCTCGGTGTTTTGGCTAACCGACTTACTTTTTTTTTTTATTGGCTTGTTTGGGCTATTTTCAGATGTGTAGCACCTGTAGCACTGCGACCTACATAGATCTATTGTGCTCGCCCTTTTCAGAGTTCGCTACCTAGACCCGTCAGGGACAAGAATTGAAGGATATTCTTAGGAAACCGACTTACTTACGATGGTCGCAGGTTCGATTCCTCGTACAGCACAATGATTTGTATTTTTTATGTTGTTTCTATGTATATTATTTATGTATTTACAAAAAAAAGTATAGTGTTTTATAAGTAAAGTGTTTATATCAGTTGTCCAGTACCCATAACACAACTCTGCTTAACTTGAGACTAGATGGCGTTGTATGTATTGTCCAGGGATGTTATTGTGTACGGTATATCACCATAGTGCTCAGGAATGGCAAACGCATGTGGGATACAGGCATTACAAACTGAATTTGAACTGAAACTTTAAGGTTTATTTAAAAGAGCGACACACAATTTTCTTGCTCGTTCTTCTTGTGATGAGACAGCTTTCTGAACGAGCGGTAGTTTAAAAAAATTTATGACTATTCAATGCTTAAATTAAGTTTATTTGAACAAATGATTTTCTATTCTATTCTATTTACGATGCTCATCCTACTATTCAAATGTATAATCTAAAAATATATATATATATAAAATTGGAGTGTCTGTTTGTAATATTGAAATAACCGTTTTTACTATATGATTATAAATAGGGTACATACACCAAAATAACATTTTTGTCTGTCTGTTCGTTCCGGCTAATCTCTGAAATGGCTGGACCAATATTGACGGGACTTTTTTTGGCAGCTAGCTGATGTAATAAGGAGTAACTTAGGCCACTTTTATTTTAGAAAAAATCCTTTATTTTTGAAAAAAATAAAGTTAAATTGCACGCGGACGAAATCGCGGGCACAGCTAGTAATACTATAAACGCGAAAAGTTTATAAGTATGGATGTTTATTACTCTTTAACGTAAAAAGTACTGAACGGATTTTGATGAAACTTTACAGTAATATAGCTTGTACATCCGATTAACATATAGGCTAAAAATATCAAGCGGACGAAGCCTTTTTTTTTTTTTCGGACTACTCTAATGCTGTTGGCCGTAGCTGGCCTTTACAGCTTCACCGGACGGTAGGGGCGAGTGCAGATGGCACTCCAAACCCGCGGAAGGACTTATGGAGCGGCTGAAGACCAACTCCTGCCTGGCGGATACGACTTTAGTCTGAGGGCACCACTAGGGTTCGAACCTCGTCCGCCGTTGTAATTTCGATCCCCGTTTGAATTGGACGGGGATCGATCGGAGGGGTCGGGCGAAGCCGCAGGAACAACTAGTATAATAGTTTGTGAGTACAAATAAATTAATCATGTTATTATATTATTATTAATAATATAATTTTATACGAATGACGATAATCAAACATTTCTCACAATAATCCATTAAACAGAAGGACGTGTGCACAATATGATAACAAACGTGAATTGTGTGAACTCGAGTAGCGGTCGCGAGTCTTTCATTTGGACATTTACGACCTGTTGATTGTTTGTAACCGAGGTGCTTGTGGCTTTGAGCATATTAATTGTCGCTAATGAACCTTTAAATATTTTAAAACTCGTAAACTGGATGATAAAATGTTTATTTTATTTTAATATGTTTTTTTTATGTAAATGGAATTACGAATTTAAACCACCCATTTAAAATGTTAGTCGGCTAGCTGTACTCGCGAATTCGTACGCGTGGAATTTAACTTTATTTTTATAAAGTATAAGATTTTTTTTCTAAAATAAAAGTAGTCTAAGTTACTCCTTTTTACATCAGCTACCTGCCAATAAAAGTCCCGTCAAAATCGGTCCAGCCATTTCAGAGATTAGCCGGAACAAACAGACAGACAGACAAAAATTCTAAAAAATGTTATTTTGGTGTACCGATACTGTATGTATTTATATTCATATGCATGTAGTAAAAAACGGTTATTTTAATATTACAAACAGACAATTCCAATTTTATTTATATGTATATATAGATGTATAGATTAAGGTTCGTTTTCTCGCACCGCACTAACATTTGTATTCACGAGTATGATTATTTCTATGTATAGGTCTGAATGTCTATATATATATATATATATATATATCGCATGTATTTATATCAGTTGTCTAGTACCTATAACACAAGCTCTGTTTAGCTTGGTACTAGATGGCGCTGTGTGAATTGTCCTGAGAAATAATAATAATAAGAGTGTTTTTTTATACTACAACGTTGACAAACAAGACGGCTCATATGATGGTAAATGGTTACAGTAGACTTACTGAAATCTTAGCCACTCGGATTCATGAATTTGGTGCTGCACTGCTGGTTGAGTTAGGTTTTTTAATTGCTAGGGTAGGGAGTTCTGCAACTAGGTTAGCAGTATACCCAGGACCCCGCACGTCTCATCTGGTCAGATTTAATACACCTGGCCAAGGTCGATCGACCTCAACGTAATTTCTTTCATACACAAGCTTCAAAAGTATTTGCTATTTCAAACTTAACGAATATTGTGCGCACACGCAATTACCTTTTTAAACAGCTCATGCCATGACTAATTCAACGGCCGTGTCTGACAGATTAATTTGTTGTTGACCTAACGGCTGGAGAATGTTTTTTTACGTCGTAATGATGAGTAATAATTATTTTAACCTTTCTGCTGCGAGTATGAATGACGAAAAATTGAGACATTTTATATTTAATAACTGAGAAAGGGAAATTACTAACAGTATGTGTGGTAAACAAACACCATCTCCCTTTCGTCGGTTATTAAAATGTTGCATCACTTCCCTAATATTACTATTAATAACTAGCAGTACACGCCACTACGTCTGCGTGAAAAAAGTTAACTTTATTCAGTTCTAAAAACAGACAGACAGACAAAAATTGTAAAAAAAGCTATTTTGCTGTATTACATCATATGCATATAGCTAAAAAATGGTTATTTAAATCGGTCCAGCCATTTCAATTTTATTTATATGAACAGACAGAAATAGTTGTTTGGGAGTCCCATTCTATATTCCCGATATATCCGTACAGGTCAAATTTCGCGTGAATATATCTGAGACGAATGTTAACCGATTGTAGTTTTGCCTATATAACCTGTTAGAATAAAATAAATAAAAATGTTAAACGGCTGATTAACATTTTTATTTTTTTATGTTAATTTATCAAACGAACAACTCTATAATAGTCTTTCAAAGTCATAAATTATAATCGTTTTAACATCAAATTAACATATAATAATGTTGTTTAACATCTAATCAATAGAATAGAATAGAAAATCATTTATTCAAATAAACTTAATTTAAGCACTTTTGAATAGTCAACATTTTTTTAAATCTACCGCTTATTCGGAAAGCTGTCTCATCACAAGAAGAATAAGCAAGAAACTTGTGTGTTCCTCTTTTAAACAATCCTTGTAAGTTCACAAGTCGAAACGTGTGAATACAAACTACCAACCAGCACTAATTTATTTAGGCTCAAATATAAAAACACAATAAGATTAAATCAGTCGTAGTGATAAGAGCAGACCAGTCCCTACAAGCAGCACTCGTTTCACGAGTTGACGGATGAGCCAGCCATCACTGCGGATGACCTCTTCCATATTTTAAACGAGCCCATATATAGACCCATAAAAATATATTTGTTCTATTTAAAAAAAAAAAAAATGGTATGAGGTATAAAAAAATTAATGATAAAC